CCCAGTCCCTGTCCCAGTTTGTGTCCCCAATCCCAGTCCCCAATCCCAGTCCCTGTCCCAGTTTGTGTCCCCAATCCCAGTCCCCAATCCCAGTCCCTGTCCCAGTTTGTCCCCAATCCCAGTCCCTGTCCCCATCGTGTCCCTGTCCCAGTTTGTGTCCCCAGTCCCAGTTCCTGTCCCCATCGTGTCCCTGTCCCAGTTTGTGTCCCCAGTCCCAGTTCAGGTCCCCATCGCAGTCTTTTGTCCCCGTCTCGGTTTTTGTCCCCATCCCAGTTTGTGTCCCTGTCCCCATCACGTCCCAGTCCCTGTCCCCATTGTGGTTCCTGTCCCCACTGAAGTCTGTGTCCCCACAGTGTCCCCATCCCTGTCCCCATCCTGTTCTCTGTCCCCACAGTGTCCCCATGGTGTCCCTGTCCCCATCCTGGTTTGTGTCCCTGTCCCAGTCCTTGTCCCCATCCTGCTCCCTGTCCCCACTGAAGTCTGTGTCCCCACAGTGTCCCCATCCCTGTCCCCACAGTGTCCCCATCCCATTCTCTGTCCCCACCATGTCCCCACCGTCACTGTCCCATCCTGCTCCCTGTCCCCATCCCTGTCCCCACAGTGTCCCCATCGTGTCCCTGTCCCCAAGCCAGTCCCTGTCCCCACCGTGGCCCCATGGTGTCCCTGTCCCCATCTGTGTCCCCACAGTGTCCCCATCCCGTTCTCTGTCCCCACTCCATCCCAGTTTGCGTCCCTGTCCCCATCACGTCCCAGTCCCTGTCCCCATTGTGGTTCCTGTCCCCACTGAAGTCTGTGTCCCCACAGTGTCCCCATCCCTGTCCCCATCCTGTTCTCTGTCCCCACAGTGTCCCCATGGTGTTCCTGTCCCCATCCTGCTTGTCCCAAGTCCCTGTCCCCGTGGTGTCCCCATCCCGGTTCCTGTCCCCATCCCGGTTTGTGTCCCCTTCCCACTCCTTGTCCCCGTCCTGCTCCCTGTCCCCACTGAAGTCTGTGTCCCCACAGTGTCCCCATCCCTGTCCCCATCCTGTTCTCTGTCCCCACAGTGTCCCCATGGTGTTCCTGTCCCCATCCTGCTTGTCCCAAGTCCCTGTCCCCGTGGTGTCCCCATCCCGGTTCCTGTCCCCATCCCGGTTTGTGTCCCCTTCCCACTCCTTGTCCCCGTCCTGCTCCCTGTCCCCACTGAAGTCTGTGTCCCCACAGTGTCCCCATCCCTGTCCCCACAGTGTCCCCATCCCATTCTCTGTCCCCACCATGTCCCCACCGTCACTGTCCCATCCTGCTCCCTGTCCCCATCCCTGTCCCCACAGTGTCCCCATCGTGTCCCTGTCCCCAAGCCAGTCCCTGTCCCCACCGTGGCCCCATGGTGTCCCTGTCCCCATCTGTGTCCCCACAGTGTCCCCATCCCGTTCTCTGTCCCCACCCCAGTTCGTGTCACACCTCAAGTCCCTGTCCCCATCATGTCCCTGTCCCCAATCCCAGTCCCTGTCCCCATGGTGTCCCTGTCCCCATCGTGTCCCCGTCCCCGTTTGTGTCCCCAGGTGGCGCCTCCGGTGTCCCCAATGTCCCCCAAGCCTCCGGAGCCGCCTCCTTGTGCCCCCCCCAATGTCCCCAAGTGTCCCCTGGTCACTCATTGGTCACTCATGGTCAGTGGTCACTCACTGCCGGACAGCAGGAAGGCTCCGCCGGGGTCCAGGGCCAGGCAGGTGACGGCGTCCAGGTGTGCGACCATCGAGTGCACCACCGCACCTGCGGGGGCGGGGCCTGCTCAGTGGGGCGGGTGGGGAAAATTCTTAAAATTTGGGATTTTTCTGGGGGGGAAAAATTCTAAAAATTTTGGGGAAAATCCTTAAAATTTGGGATTTAGATGGGGAAAAATTCTAAAAATTTTGGGGAAAAATCCCCCAAATTTGGGATTTTTCTGGGGAGAAAAAATTCTAAAAATTTTGGGGAAAATCCCTAAAATTTGGGATTTATCTGGGAGAAAAAATTCTAAAAATTTTGGGGAAAATCCCTAAAATTTGGGATTTATCTGGGGGAAAAAATTCTAAAAATTTTGGGGAAAATCCCCCAAATTTGGGATTTATCCGATGGAGAAAAAGATGAAAAAATTGGGGAAAAAATCCTAAAAATTGGGGGGGAAAAAAAATCCCTAAAATTTGGGATTTACCCGGAGGGAAAAAAAAAAATCCCCCAAATTTGTCCCAAATTTGAGGGGTGGGGGAGGGGGCGGAGCCCTTCTGGGCAGGGACAGGTGACAACGGCAGGTGCCACCTCAGGTGTGTCACCTGCTCTGGGGGAGGTGACCGAGGTCACGTGATGCCACCAGGTGCCACCAGCACCTCGGTGCCACCTCCTGTCCTGTGCTGGCGCTGTGTCCAGGTGTGCCCAGGTGTGTCCAGGTGTGCCCAGGTGTGCCCAGGTGCCACCAGGTGTGACCCCGGCCTGGGGGAGGTGACAGAGGCCACCACAGGTGCCACCAGGTGTCACCAACTCAAGGAGAAACAAACAACATCACCTCCTGTCCTGTGCTGGCGCTGTCCCCAGGTGTGCCCAGGTGCCACCAGGTGTGCCCAGGTGCCACCTCAGATGTGCCACACCTGGTCCCTGGGCAGGGGAGGTGACAAGTGCCACCACAGGTGCCACCAACACACGGAGAAACAAGTGACACCACCACCTGTCCTGTCCTGGAGGTGTCCACAGGTGTCCCCAGGTGTGCCCAGGTGCCACCACAGATGTGCCACACCTGGTCGTGCCCAGGTGTCCCCAGGTGTGCCCAGGTGCCACCAGCTGTGCCCAGGTGTCACCCAGGTGCCACCAGGTGCCACCAACACACAGAGAAACAAGTGACACCACCACCTGTCCTGTCCTGGAGCTGTCCACAGGTGTGCCCAGGTGCCACCCAGCTCTGGGAGAGGTGACAGGTACCACCACCACACGGAGAAAAAAGTGACACCACCACCTGTCCTGTCCTGGAGCTGTCCACAGGTGTCCCCAGGTGTGCCCAGGTGCCACCCAGCTCTGGGAGAGGGGACAGGTACCACCACCACACGGAGAAAAAAGTGACACCACCACCTGTCCTGTCCTGGAGCTGTCCACAGGTGTCCCCAGGTGTGCCCAGGTGCCACCCAGCTCTGGGAGAGGGGACAGGTACCACCACCACACGGAGAAAAAAGTGACACCACCACCTGTCCTGTCCTGGAGCTGTCCACAGGTGTCCCCAGGTGTGCCCAGCTGTGCCCAGCTGTGCCGGGCTCAGACGAACACCTTGGCCAGGGCGTCGGCGCCGGCGCTGGCGCTGAGGGCGCGCCGGGGGTGGAAGGCCACGGCCAGCACGGCCTCGGAGTGCTTGCGGCGGTGAGCGGGCAGCTCCTGCACACAGGTGCGCTGCAGCAGGTGGCATAAATGGAGAGAGCAGTCGTGACCTGGGGGGGCGCAGGGGACACAGGTGACACAGGGGACACACAGGTGACACACAGGGGACACAGGTGACACAGCTCCTGCACACAGGTGCGCTGCAGCAGGTGGCATAAATGGAGAGAGCAGTCGTGACCTGGGGGGGCGCAGGGGACACAGGTGACACAGGGGACACACAGGTGACACACAGGGGACACAGGTGACACAGCTCCTGCACACAGGTGCGCTGCAGCAGGTGGCATAAATGGAGAGAGCAGTCGTGACCTGGGGGGGCGCAGGGGACACAGGTGACACAGGGGACACACAGGTGACACACAGGGGACACAGGTGACACAGCTCCTGCACACAGGTGCGCTGCAGCAGGTGGCATAAATGGAGAGAGCAGTCGTGACCTGGGGGGGCGCAGGGGACACAGGTGACACAGGGGACACACAGGTGACACACAGGGGACACAGGTGACACAGCTCCTGCACACAGGTGCGCTGCAGCAGGTGGCATAAATGGAGAGAGCAGTCGTGACCTGGGGGGGCGCAGGGGACACAGGTGACACAGGGGACACACAGGTGACACACAGGGGACACAGGTGACACAGCTCCTGCACACAGGTGCGCTGCAGCAGGTGGCATAAATGGAGAGAGCAGTCGTGACCTGGGGGGGCGCAGGGGACACAGGTGACACAGGGGACACACAGGTGACACACAGGGGACACAGGTGACACAGCTCCTGCACACAGGTGCGCTGCAGCAGGTGGCATAAATGGAGAGAGCAGTCGTGACCTGGGGGGGCGCAGGGGACACAGGTGACACAGGGGACACACAGGTGACACACAGGGGACACAGGTGACACAGCTCCTGCACACAGGTGCGCTGCAGCAGGTGGCATAAATGGAGAGAGCAGTCGTGACCTGGGGGGGCGCAGGGGACACAGGTGACACAGGGGACACACAGGTGACACACAGGGGACACAGGTGACACAGCTCCTGCACACAGGTGCGCTGCAGCAGGTGGCATAAATGGAGAGAGCAGTCGTGACCTGGGGGGACACAGGGGACACAGGTGACACAGGGGACACACAGGTGACACACAGGTGACACAGGTGACACACAGGTGACACAGGTGATGTCACACAGGTGACACAGGGGACACACAGGTGACACAGGTGATGTCACACAGGTGATGTCACACAGGTGCCACAGCCGCAGGAATGGCTGTGACCTGGGGACAGAGGGGACACACCTGGGACACACAGGGGACGACCATTGGGGACATCGGGGGGGTTCAGGTGACACCTGGGGACATCGGGGGGGTTCAGGTGGCCCCTGGGGACATCAGGGGGGTTCAGGTGGCCCCTGGGGACATCGGGGGGGTTCAGGTGGCCCCTGGGGACATCAGGGGGGTCACTCACCGCCGTTTGGGGACACCAGGGTGGCCTTGGTGGCCTCGAGGTCGTAGAGGACGGTGGCACCGGAGCGGAAGCCGGCCACCAGCTGGGCCGGGTGGGTGGGGACAAACGTCACCGAGGTGGGGACACCGTGATCTGAAACAGACAGGTGAGGGGACACGTGTGACACCTGGGGGACAGGTGTGTGACACCGTGTGACACCTGGGTGGGGACGAACATCACCGAGGTGGGGACACCGTGATCTGAAACGGAGACAGGTGTGACACCTGCACAGGTGTGTCCCCAATGTCCCCAGCTGTGTCCCCAAGTGTGTCCCCAATGCAGGTGTCCCCGCTCACCTTTGTGCCCGTCCAGCACGCTCAGGCAGGTGCCAGCGCCGCCGGTGCCACCGCCGCTGTCCCCGCGGGGGTCCCAGAGGCGCACGGTGCCGTCGGCCGAGCACGAGGCCAGGTGACGCCCGGTGACGTCGAAGGCCAGGCCCCAGACGGCGTCGGCGTGGCCATCGAGGACCCCCCGCAGCACGCGCGGGTCTGGGGACACAGGGACATCCGGGACATCACAGGGGACATCGGGGACACAGGGACATCCGGGACATCACAGGGGACATCGGGGACACAGGGACATCCGGGACATCACAGGGGACATCGGGGACACAGGGACATCCGGGACATCACAGGGGACATCGGGGACACAGGGACATCCGGGACATCACAGGGGACATCGGGGACACAGGGACATCCGGGACATCACAGGGGACATCGGGGACACAGGGACATCCGGGACATCACAGGGGACATCGGGGACACAGGGACATCCGGGACATCACAGGGGACATCGGGGACACAGGGACATCCGGGACATCACAGGGGACATCGGGGACACAGGGACATCCGGGACATCACAGGGGACATCGGGGACACAGGGACATCCGGGACATCACAGGGGACATCGGGGACACAGGGACATCCGGGACATCACAGGGGACATCGGGGACACAGGGACATCCGGGACATCACAGGGGACATCGGGGACACAGGGACATCCGGGACATCACAGGGGACATCGGGGACACAGGGACATCCGGGACATCACAGGGGACATCGGGGACACAGGGACATCCGGGACATCACAGGGGACATCGGGGACACAGGGACATCCGGGACATCACAGGGGACATCGGGGACACAGGGACATCCGGGACATCACAGGGGACATCGGGGACACAGGGACATCCGGGACATCACAGGGGACATCGGGGACACAGGGACATCCGGGACATCACAGGGGACATCGGGGACACAGGGACATCCGGGACATCACAGGGGACATCGGGGACACAGGGACATCCGGGACATCACAGGGGACATCGGGGACACAGGGACATCCGGGACATCACAGGGGACATCGGGGACACAGGGACATCCGGGACATCACAGGGGACATCGGGGACACAGGGACATCCGGGACATCACAGGGGACATCGGGGACACAGGGACATCCGGGACATCACAGGGGACATCGGGGACACAGGGACATCCGGGACATCACAGGGGACATCGGGGACACAGGGACATCCGGGACATCACAGGGGACATCGGGGACATTGGGGACACAGGGACATCGGGGACATCACAGGGGACATCACAGGGACACTGGGGACACTGGGGACACAGGGACATCACAGGGACATTGGGGACACAGGGACATCGCTGGGACATCGGGGACACTGGGGACATCAGGGACTCAGGGACATCACAGGGACAGTGGGGACAGTGGGGACACAGGGGCATCACAGGGGACATTGGGGACACAGGGACATCACAGGGACACTGGGGACACCGGGGACATCAGGGACACAGGGACATCGGGGACATTGGGGACACAGGGACATCACAGGGACATCGGGGACATTGGGGACACAGGGACATCACAGGGACATCGGGGACATTGGGGGCATCAGGGGATTGGGGACACTGGGGACATCGGAGACACTGGGGACATCGAGGAACCCCCGCAGCACGCGCGGGTCTGGGGACACAGGGGACGTCACAGGGGACACTGGGGGATTGGGGACATTGGGGACACCGGGGACATTGGGAGTGTTGGGGACATTGGGGACAGCATTGTCCCCAGGTGCCACCACACCCCAATACCCCCAGGTGTCCCCAGGTGCCACCACACCCCAATACCCCCAGGTGTCCCCAGGTGCCACCACACCCCAATATCCCCAGGTGTCCCCAGGTGCCACCACACCCCCGGTGTCCCCGGTGTCCCTGATGTCCCCAAGTGCCACCACACCCCCGATGTCCCCAAGTGCCACCCACCGTAGCCGTCGTAGGGGTCACTGTCCAGCCCCGGGAGGCGCCAGCAGCGAATCCGAGCGTCCACCCCGGCGCTGCAGCACAGCCCGCTGTCACCGCTGTCACCGCCGTCACCCGCGGCCACCGCCACCTGCAGCACCGGGCCCCTGGGAGGGACAGAAATCACAGCGCTGTCACCACTGTCACCGTTGTCACTGCTGTCACCTGTGTCACCACTGTCACCCGTGTCACTGCCAGCACTGGGCCCTGGGAGGGACAGAGGGACAGAAATCACAGCAGTGTCACCGCTGTCACCGTTGTCACTGCTGTCACCTGTGTCACCGCTGTCACCCGTGTCACTGCCAGCACTGGGCCCTGGGAGGGACAGAGGGACAGAAATCACAGCGGTGTCACCACTGTCACCTGTGTCACCGCTGTCACCCGTGTCACTGCCAGCACTGGGCCCCTGGGTGGGGACAGAGGGACACAAATCACAGCGGTGGCACCGCTGTCACCGTTGTCACTGCTGTCACCTGTGTCACTGCCAGCACCGGCAACTGGGAGGGACAGAGGGACACAAATCACAGCGGTGTCACCACTGTCACTGCCAGCACTGGGCCCTGGATGGGGACAGAGTGACAGAAATCACAGCGGTGTCACCGCTGTCACCCGTGTCACCACTGTCACCCGTGTCACTGCCAGCACCGGGCCCTGGGACGGTGACAAAGTGACAAACTTCACCGGTGTCACCACTGTCACTGCCAGCACCGGCCCCTGGGAAGGTGACAAAAAATCCCTATACAATCACAGCCAGGTGACAACCAGGTGACAAAGAGATAACACTGAGGTGACAATGAGGTGACAAAGAGGTGACAGAAGTGGAATAAAGCCACAACCACTGAGGTGACAATGAGGTGACACCGAGGTGACGGCAAGGTGACACCGAGGTGACATCAAGGTGACAATGAGATGACAAAGAGGGGTGACACCGAGGTGACAAAGTGACCAGAAAATGGAATAAAGCCACAACCGCCGATGTGACAACGAAGGTGACAATGAGATGACAAAGAGGTAACACCAAGATGACAAAAACCAGGAATAAAGCCACAATTGCCAATGTGACAACAAAGGTGACACAGAGGTGACACCCAGGTGACAAAGAGGTGACAATGAGATGACAAAGAGGTGACGCTGAGATGACAAAGAGAGGTGACGCTGAGGTGACAAAGTGACAAAAACCAGGAATAAAACCACAACCATCGATGTGACACCAGGTGACACCGAGGTGACAAAGTGACAAAAAAAGGAATAAAACCACAACCACTGAGGTGACACCCAGGTGACATGGAGGTGACAACAAGGTGACAAAGTGACAAAAAAAGGAATAAAACCACAACCGTCGATGTGACAACGAAGGTGACAATGAGACGATGCTGAGGTGACGCAAATGTGACACTGAGGTGACACCCAGGTGACACCGAGGTGACAAAGTGACCAAAAAATGGAATAAAGCCACAACCGCCGATGTGACAACGAAGGTGACAATGAGATGACACTGAGGTGACAAAGTGACAAAAACAGGAATAAAACCACAACCACTGATGTGACAACAAAGGTGACACTGAGGTGACACCCCGGTGACAAAGTGACAAAAAAATGGAATAAAGCCACAACCGCCGATGTGACAACGAAGGTGACAATGAGAGGACGCTGAGGTGACGCAAATGTGACACCGAGGGGACACCGAGGTGACACGAGGTGACACCCAGATGACAAAGTGACAAAAAAAGGAATAAAACCACAACCGCCAATGTGACAACGAAGGTGACAATGAGAGGACGCTGAGGTGACGCAAATGTGACACCGAGGTGACACCGAGGTGACACGAGGTGACACCCAGATGACAAAGTGACAAAAAACAGGAATAAAGCCACAACCGCCGATGTGACAACGAAGGTGACAATGAGACGACACTGAGGTGACACGGAGGTGACAATGAGATGACAAAGAGGTGACACCAAGGTGACAAAGTGACAAAAACCAGGAATAAAGCCACAACCGCCAATGTGACACCAGGTGACACAGAGGTGACAAAGTGACAAAAAACAGGAATAAAGCCACAACCGCCGATGTGACAACGAAGGTGACAATGAGACGACGCTGAGGTGACGCAGATGTGACACTGAGGTGACACCCAGGTGACAAAGAGGTGACAGTGAGATGACAAAGAGAGGTGACACCGAGGTGACAAAGTGACCAAAAAATGGAATAAAGCCACAACTGCCGATGTGACAATGAAGGTGACAATGAGATGACGCTGAGGTGACAAAGGGTTGACAAAGTGACAAAAACAGGAATAAATCCACAACCACTGATGTGACAACAAAGGTGACACTGAGGTGACACCGAGGTGACACCCAGGTGACAAAGAGGTGACAACAAGATGACAAAGAGGTGACACCGAGGTGACAAAGTGACAAAAAACAGGAATAAAGCCACAACCACCGATGTGACAACGAAGGTGACAATGAGACGACGCTGAGGTGACAACGGGGTGACAAAGTGACAAAAACAGGAATAAAACCACAGCCGTCGATGTGACAACGAAGGTGATGACGCTGAGGTGACACACAGGTGACATGGAGGTGACAAGGTGACAAAGTGACAAAAACCAGGAATAAAACCACAACCGTCGATGTGACAACGAAGGAGATGACGCTGAGGTGACACACAGGTGACATGGAGGTGACAAGGTGACAAAGTGACAAAAACCAGGAATAAAACCACAACCGTCGATGTGACAACGAAGGTGATGACGCTGAGGTCACTGAGGTGACACCGAGGTGACACCCAGGTGACAAAGAGGTGACAACAAGATGACAAAGAGGTGACACCGAGGTGACAAAGTGACAAAAAACAGGAATAAAGCCACAACCACCGATGTGACAACAAAGGCGACAATGAGACGACGCTGAGGTGACACTGAGGTGACACGGAGGTGACACGGAGGTGACACCGAGGTGACAAACCTGTGCCCGCGGAAGGCGTACACCGGCTCCACGTCCAGCGCCGCGTTCCTGAGGGGACAACGGCGACAACGCGGTGACAACGCGGTGACACGGCGGTGACAACCGGCCACCGCCCCAGCGTCACCCCGCGTCACCCCGTGTCACCCACTTCTTGGGGACCAGCGGCTTCTGCAGGTTCCAGAGCTTGAGGGTGGCGTCCTCGGAGGCTTCCGATGTGACAACGAAGGTGACAATGAGATGACAAAGAGGGGTGACACCAAGGTGACAAAGTGACCAAAAACAGGAATAAAGCCACAACCTCCGATGTGACAACGAAGGTGACAATGAGATGACAAAGAGGGGTGACACCAAGGTGACAAAGTGACCAAAAACAGGAATAAAGCCACAACCTCCGATGTGACAACGAAGGTGACAATGAGATGACAAAGAGGGGTGACACCAAGGTGACAAAGTGACCAAAAACAGGAATAAAGCCACAACCTCCGATGTGACAACGAAGGTGACAATGAGATGACAAAGAGGTGACACAGAGGTGACACCCAGGTGACAAAGAGGTGACAACAAGATGACAAAGAGGTGACACCGAGGTGACAAAGTGACAAAAAACAGGAATAAAGCCACAACCACCGATGTGACAACGAAGGTGACAATGAGAGGACGCTGAGGTGACGCAAATGTGACACCGAGGTGACACCGAGGTGACAAAGTGACAAAAAACAGGAATAAAGCCACAACCACCGATGTGACAACAAAGGTGACAATGAGACGACGCTGAGGTGACACTGAGGTGACACGGAGGTGACACGGAGGTGACACCGAGGTGACAAACCTGTGCCCGCGGAAGGCGTACACCGGCTCCACGTCCAGCGCCGCGTTCCTGAGGGGACAACGGCGACAACGCGGTGACAACGCGGTGACACGGCGGTGACAGCCCCAGCGTCACCCCGCGTCACCCCGCGTCACCCCGTGTCACCCACTTCTTGGGGACCAGCGGCTTCTGCAGGTTCCAGAGCTTGAGGGTGGCGTCCTCGGAGGCTGTCACCAGCGCCGGGTGACAAGGGACAAAGGCCAGCGCCCGCACGGCGTCGTAGTGGCTGCGCAGCGTCAGGCGCGGGCTCCAGCTGCGCTTCGGGGACAGCGCGCCGCCGTCCGTCACCTGGGGAGGGTGGCACTTGGGGACACAGTGGCACTCAGGGACACAGGGACATGGGGACACTGATGTCACAGGCGGGCTCCAGCTGCACTTCGGGGACAGCGTGCGCCCGTCTGTCACCTGGGGAGGGTGGCACTTGGGGACACTTGGGGACACTCTGGGGACACTGGGATATCAGGATATTGGGACAGGGTGGCACTTGGG